TGACCGCACGATATTCAAATTTATCCATTTTAACGAAACACGCGCAAGAGGTGTACTGCAAAGACTCGTTTACACAAACTACTTGAGCGAACAGGTTGAAGCTTGTCATACGAACTAATGATATATGCGCGCAGGTAGGAAATGTAAACTTTCGTCGATTGGAATACCATTTCTGGGTCAGGCCGAGAACTTTTCACCTTGCCCTCGTATAAATGAAGTATCATTATCTTTTGTGAACTTTGTAAAGTTGAACTGTGTAAACAAAAAGAAATATATAAATATTGTACACAGAATTTGACAGAGAGAAATTTATTTTTTAATTCGCATATAATATTTAAAATAGTCAGCCGCCATATACAGGATGAAGCATATATTGAGATGACTTCGTTCTGAGAGAGACGTAGGTCTGTTTTTTTCGCTACACTAAAACTGCAATAGAACTGCACTGAACTGAACTAAACCGCACTGGGACTAGTACAGAATAGTTCAGTTCAGTGCAAAGTGCAATGAAGAGGTCTGTTCGTTTTCGCCGCACCGCTGAAACGCTAGAGTGTAGTAAACAACATGGCGCATCACATGGCATTATTTGATTCTTCTGACGAAAAGGATTTTGTTGTAATACAACCACTATTACATAGCAAATTCATTAATAATTTATAATATTATATACCCTACCGATCATAAATTTAAATAAATGACTAAATATAAAATAAATATAAAATCATTAAGTAATGTATCTTGACATCTTAAATTCATCCTTGTGATATGTTTGAACATTTCTGCTGTGTATGTGTGTGTGATGGTATAATATTAACAATTTTTGAAAATGAAATAAAAAAGATATTTCACACATTTCAATATAATGCAAGCCACATACCTGATAGAGACTTTTCGTATTTCCGTTACGTTTACATGCACTTCCAAGCTACACTTTCATGCACTGCATTGGCCACACTACCTCCTGACTCAGTACAATAGTTCACTGAACTGCCTGCACTACATGCTGTTACACTGCGAAAACGAACAGCGTTGATGGCGTCATGATGACGTCATTCTTGGTAAAAAGAACGCTTTAATGTAAACTTCTTGCACTGGTGTGCACTAGTGCAGAAAGTGTTTCGAAAAAAAAAACAGACCTATAATTTAAGTACCCCGTCTTTGTCTTATCTTCGGCCGATATTCATAATCGAATCTTATTTATAAGATCGTCTTAAATGCATTTTTAGATGTTACAGCTTATTTTATTAGCTACGGAGCATCTGAAGATGAATTTAGACGGTCTCAAATATAAGATCTGACTATGAATATCGGCTTCAGCCTAAATAGGTTATATAGCATATTAGTGAGACAGAAAGTGAGATATTATTTAAAACTTTTATCTCACAGGTCTACTTAAATCCGTATCAGACTATGGATTGAGAATTGAGATTGAATTTGGCCAATCAGTACTAAGTTAACTGAACTCAAGTTTAGTGAAATTTAGTGAAGTTTGCATTGATTGGTCAAATTTCAATTCAATCTCAATCTCCAATCCCTAGTCTGATACGGGCTTTACGGGCTATAACGCCCACTGCTATATATATATATATATAGAACTGTGAATATATATATATGGAACCGTGAATATCCGTGTCTCTGTCTACCGATGAATATTTTTGACATCCACGGCCTCTCCTTTCTTTTATTGTTTACGTTTATTACATTTACCAATGTTGACAATGCTGCAATTCGACTTTTTGTTTGTTTGTTATATTCATGATCGATAATGCTGCTGCATTCTAATAACCATTGATGGTAAATTAACTGACATTTTGTAATGTTTCGCAATTTAGATGATAGTTTAATTGTACAATCAGCTGACTGCTCCTACGTTCCACAGCATCAAATCACTAGGCATTATAACGCGTGTGTACACCTTTCGACGTTTTAACGCTCGGATGCTCCTCTCTCTCTCTCTCTCTCGCTCTCTTTCCCTCTCTCTTAGTACTGATTACAAAGACTCTTTTGGGTTAATCTCTAACATGATTCTTCGACGTTAGACGCTCTCATCTAAAGGCATCTTAGGAAACTGACAAATCACAATCGATTATTCTTCCATGATTCAATTGTGACTAATCAATTTTTTAATGGTTTTGTCATAAGTTAACGGTTTACAACTTGTATATAAGTAGGTCTTTAAAGTTGGCTTCTCTATCGGCTTCACTTTTCCAAATCCAGTGTCTGTTCCAGTATGAGTATGTTTCAATATTACATTACGATGAACACAACCTTAGAATGTAAAATGGTATTGTCACTGATATGAACGCATTTATTCAGTGATTCGCTTTTATTCGTTTCGAACCTACCGTTCTTTTTGGACGAAGTCGTTGCTGCCTCTGCAGAACGCGTTTTAGTAAATCACATACTTATTTTCTTCGTTGGAAAGGTCATAGGGACGTTTTCTCTCGAGGAGTGCCGAAATAATATTGAGAGAGAGAGAGAGAGAGAGGGAGAGAGTTAGAGAAAGTATTATCAATACATTTTAGAATACTACTTTAATACTTCTAAGTTAACTTTTCTGAGTGTAGTCATATAATTATAGGTGTTTTAAATGCAATTAATATCTTTATCTCAGACTTAACGTCTTATCTAACTTAACGGCATATCTCACAATAGAACCACCCACAATAGAAAAAGCATCGTTTTAACATAGCGGTTATAAAAACGAAACTTCCACTGAATATTTTGTATTGTAACACGTACTTGTAGTTGTGAAACGTATAAATTTACTATCCATTATGTCTCGTGTTGCAGATATTGTAAGACAAGTATATCAGAAAATAATAACAACTAAAAATTTCGGACAGTGCATGAGAAATGTGAGTGTCACTATTACTTATTTACATTTTATCAGTTATTTTTTTATCATTAAATATATAAGGTAGTCCAGTGTTATATTAGGTTGGTGCGTATGAAATGTCGGATTCTCTTTACATGCGGACGTTTTCCTACCCTGTTTTCGTTATACTTTTGTATTTGGCATAACCTCATTCATACTCGTATTGTCCATTGCCAGAGACTCATTTCAACAAAATAGGTTTTCTCGAAGGTCTTCCCTTTTTTATTTCTTTTGAGTTTATTACCGATATGAATTCTGCCGACATTCGCGTCATTTTCTTATATGAGTACAAACTTGGTAATAGTGCTGCAAAAGCTGCACGCAACATAAACCAAGCGTTTGGGGAGAATACG